CTCTTAGAAGTCAGCTCTGTCTTAGAAGTCAGCTCTGTCTTAGAAGTCAGCTCTGTCTTAGAAGTCAGCTCTGTCTTAGAAGTCAGCTCTGTCTTAGAAGTCAGCTCTGTCTTAGAAGTCAGCTCTGTCTTAGAAGTCAACTCTGTCTTAGAAGTCAGCTCTGTCTTAGAAGTCAGCTCTCTCTGAGAAGTCAGCCCTGTCTTAGAAGTCAACTCTGTATTAGAAGTCAGCTCTGTCTTAGAAGTCAACTCTGTCTTAGAAGTCAGCTGTCTTAGAAGTCAGCTCTGTCTTAGAAGTCAACTCTGTCTTAGAAGTCAGCTCTGTCTTAGAAGTCAGCTCTGTCTAAGAAGTCAGCTCTGTCTTAGAAGTCAGCTCTGTCTAAGAAGTCAGCTCTGTCTTAGAAGTCAGCTCTGTCTTAGAAGTCAGCTCTGTCTTAGAAGTCAGCTCTGTCTTAGAAGTCAGCTCTGTCTTAGAAGTCAGCTCTGTCTGAGAAGTCAGCCCTGTCTTAGAAGTCAACTCTGTATTAGAAGTCAGCTGTGTCTTTGAATTCAACTCTGTCTTAGAAGTCAGCTCTGTCTTAGAAGTCAGCTCTGTCTTAGAAGTCAACTCTGTCTTCGAAGTCAGCTCTGTCTTAGAAGTCAGCTCTGTCTTAGAAGTCAGCTCTGTCTTAGAAGTCAGCTCTGTCTTAGAAGTCAGCTCTGTCTTAGAAGTCAGCTCTGTCATAGAAGTCAGCTCTGTCTTAGAAGTCAGCTCTGTCTTGGAAGTCAGCTCTGTCTTAGAAGTCAGCTCTGTCTTAGAAGTCAACTCTTTCTTAGAAGTCAGGTCTGTCTTAGAAGTCAGCTCTGTCTTAGAAGTCAACTCTGTCTTAAAAGTCAGCTCTGTCTTAGAAGCCAGCTCTGTCTTAGAAGTCAGCTCTGTTTTAGAAGTCAGCTCTGTCTTAGAAGTCAGCTCTGTCTTAGAAGTCAACTCTGTGTTAGAAGTCAGCTCTGTCTAAGAAGTCAGCTCTGTCTTAGAAGTCATCTCTGTCTAAGAAGTCAGCTCTGTCTTATAAGTCAGCTCTGTCTAAGAAGTCAGCTCTGTCTAAGAAGTCAGCTTTGTCTTAGAAGTCAGCTCTGTCTTAGAAGTCAGCTCTGTCTTAGAAGTCAGCTCTGTCTTAGAAGTCAGCTCTGTCTTAGAAGTCAGCTCTGTCTTAGCAGTCAGCTCTGTCTTAGAAGTCAGCTCTGTCTTAGAAGTCAGCTCTGTCTTAGAAGTCAGCTCTGTCTTAGAAGTCAGCTCTGTCTTAGAAGTCAGCCTTATCTCCAGATGACTGATGGGCAGTACGAAGTAACTTAGCCTGGATCATCTGTCACTATATCCTTGTTAGTTATCAGGATGTTATCAGAAAAACATCTGATAACAGTCCGCTCTTTTGTTTACCCGGAAGTGTTGTTCAGTTGACGGGATGATAGTTGAGGCGCTTATCAACTTGTGGCTGTGACGGTGTTTCATTTATAATATAATACGATGGTATATTATTCAACTGTGTAGACTGAGCTGAATATTGTGTTCAGGGTACCTACCAACCTGGTGTCTACCTGGTGTCTACCTTGTGTCTACCTGGTGTCTACCTGGTGTCTACCTGGTGTCTATCTGGTGTCTACCTGGTGTCTACCTGGTGTCTACCTTGTGTCTACCTGGTGTCTACCTGGTGTCTGTCTGGTGTCTACCTGGTGTCTACCTGGTAGACTCCAGGTAGTACAAGTAGTAGTAGTAGTAGGTAGTACTTGTGGTCACATTAGTTGTACTTGTGTCCAGGTACCTAATATATTATCGATGAATTTCTCAACATTATTACTGTAGTCGGTAGTCTGATCAAGTTTGCGATACCGATATCAGGGCACATTTAATACCGATATCAGGGCACATTTAAAACCGGTATCAGGGCACATTTAATACCGATATCAGGGCACATTTAATACAGATATCAGGGCACATTTAATACCGATATCAGGGCACATTTAATACCGATATCAGGGCACATTTAATACCGATATCAGGGCACATTTAATACCGATATCAGGGCACATTTAATACCGATATCAGGGCACATTTAATACCGATATCAGGGCACATTTAATACCGATATCAGGGCACATTTAATACCGATATCAGGGCACATTTAATACCGATATCAGGGCACATTTAATACCGATATCAGGGCACATTTAATACCGATATCAGGGCACATTTAATACCGATATCAGGGCACATTTAATACCGATATCAGGGCACATTTAATACCGATATCAGGGCACATTTGATCAAAGTCAGTTGAAATGTTATCGGGAACCCTCAAAATGCTACTTTGGATCTCAAAATTTGTTAATATTTTAAACTGAATAATGTGGTTGATGCTGTTTCTCAGAGTATCTTTCCCTCTTTCTCTATCTGTCTGTCTGTCTTTCTCTTTCTCTCTCTTTCTCTATCTGTCTGTCTGTCTGTCTGTTTCTCTCTCTCTCTCTCTCTCTCTCTCTCTCTCTCTCTCTCTCTCTTTCTCTCTCTCTCTTCTCTCTATCTCCTCTCCTCTCCTCTCTCTCTCTCTCTCTCTCTCTCTCTCTCTCTTCTCTCTCTCTTTCTACCTCGCATGATTGAATGTAGTCACAATCTGTGATCTGTATCAGATTCAGAAAAAACCATACCACGGGTGGGGTTAGAACCCACGATTAGAGAGTCTCAAAACTCCAGACCGCGGGTTCTAACCCCACCTGTGGTATGGTTTGTTTGCAATCGTATCATTACGATTTCGTGAGTCGGATCCAGAAGATTGTTGCTCGAACAGCCTTAGTAACTGAGTTAAAACGTGTTGTTGAGGGTTGTGCTGGAGCTGCTGTTCCTCAGAGTGACGCAGATTATGTGTAACACATCAGAGTCCCTGACTAATGTCACCTCTTTGTAACTTCAGATTTCCTTAACGTTAACATAAAGAGGGGTCATCGTCCCCCGGACAATGTACTACAACACAGTATAATTCTCTTATTCCCATTAACATGGATTTCTACAAGCACAGTCATACCCTTTTACACCAAGCTGAAGAATTTACCTCACCTGGAGTTTAACACACTCATTCCACTGTCTTTCTTTATGAGATGAGAATGATTTTGAAAGTCGACATGTTGAAGAATGAGATGTTTGCGGAAAAATTGGGAATTTTTATTGTCTTCTTCAGTCCAGTAGAGAGAATGACAGTGGATGATGAGGAGGAATTTTAGGGAATCATTCTCTCAACCTGGAGTCGATGTGTTAAGCACATCGACTCCAGGTTGAGGGAATGATTCCCCCAAAATTCCTCATCTTCCACTGTTATTCTCTTTATTGGACTGAAGAAGGCACTAGCTGGCGAAATGTTTCCTCAGTAAAGATTCCCAATTATTGCATCTTGTCTTGTTGAAAACATTGCAACCAGTGAGAGTAATTTCTGATATTTGATTGTTGTCGTGATCACGCCATGACTCACTTGGGACAGTAATACCTGGATGTTCTTATAAAAACTTACGCGGATAGTTCGTCTCTCTTTGGAATATACCAAGAGTTTATATACTGCAAAGTGTAATACCATCGTAAACAGGGGATCTTAACAATGCAGAATAAGACTGTGTCATGGGCTACCAGTGATACCTGCTGCCTTGCCTCAGAGAATTTTCCCTCCTATCTGTTACTGTTTGGAACATTGCAGAGCTCCTGAAGACGCACGACAGTGCGAAAGATCTAGAGTTTAAGATTTCTATCCTCATGTGGCTTGTACATACTGTAAAATACTTTTGGTTCGCCCAGTTGATCTTCCCAGCTGGAGTAATTAGTTTAAATTCCACGTCCCACTGCTTACCTGACTTGTATGCTGGCTGCTCCCTCCTCCTCCTCCTCTTCCTCTTCCTCCTTCTTTACCTCCTCGTCTTCCTCCTCCTCCTCCAGAATTTCATTCACCCTCGCACTTCTTCAAGAATCTTGCACTACCAACAACAATTAAATGAAACCTATCTTGGTCAAATAAGCTTCTATCAGAATTAAAGTCATCCCACTTTTCTATGGAGTCCAGAGCATCGGCTTCCCACACACTTCCTCAAGTCTTCGGCTCTCACCCAAATCTTTACTGTATCAGTGTGTACATCAAGTGTAGTATTAATACTGTAACTACCTTCCGTTGTCTTTTAGTCTTGTATCTACGAGGATCTGCTGTGATCTGCTCGACTGTAAACATTACCATTAACGAGTCATGAAAACTGCATCCTCTGGTGTGTGGGTTTTTTTTTTTTATCACACCAGAGGATGTGATGAAACATATTCACATACATGATTCTTCCTCGCGCCTGGGAAGTATATCTTCCTTCTCTGTTTGCTGCTGCAACAAAAAAATTGTATGTTCTGCTGGCTAACAATGAAAACTCTCGCCAGGACCACCTGGGACCTCCCCTGGGGATGTAGTGGTCCCATTACATGGCGTAGCTTAGCGAGAATGTTAATTCTGTTGCACAGCGTAATGCTGTTTAATAAAACAGTCTCTCTGAGTAACTTTCCATTTATTTTTACTCGTGTGCAATTGCTTGGGGTTTCTTTTGCATCTGCTAGATGCTCACTAATTCTAGTCTGCAATTCTTCAAATTTCTCTGAGAAATGTCACTTCTAGTGAAGGTTGATGGCACTTTCAACTTCCAACTCAACCACTCTGCCACACATCATCATAAAACAAGGTCACTTCCCTGAATATCAGTGTCCATAAAGGTGAAAAATACTTTTGCAAAGGCACAGAATCAAGTGAATCATTCCTATAGTTTCGTGCGAGTTATTATGTGAGTTAGTGCATGATAATATTCAGTGCTGGGCTTTGAATGAGGTGATGAAGGGAAGATAACAGCTCTTGGAATTTAAAATGGATATTTGTAAAAAAAACTCTGCGGATGATGCAAATACACATTCATCTGGGGAACTTTAGTTAATATACCTGGTAAAATCCTTGGGCCTCCAAAATGGTGCCGATCGACCCAGTTAGACCTACGCCAGGAAAAACAGGTCCGGACTATAGGTGTGCATAGTATATAAAAATAGCGTTGTGTGTAGGCCATTGTGGGAGCCAGAAAAATCTCGTTTCCTTAGTATTATTAAACAATAAATAAATATTGACGTATCAGAAACTGCTTATATAAATAGCCTTCATTTCTCCTTAAATACTACTCCAATCCGATTTCATGCATTTTAACTTATGCTTCTAAAATCAAGGAAAAAAAACTCTAAGATCAAATTAATATTTTATAAATCAGAGGCTCTAAAGGCAGGTTTATTTTAAACCGTTTATCAGTTGAAGAGTTACTCTTGAGAGCTAAGTATATCTACTGAGGGACGGATCACCACATCTTCCACTCTCTTCTGTGTAAAGTTCTGAAAGGCTGGTGGACTGATTACCTCACAGACAGTCTTCATTTATCATCTCTGTATTGAACTGATAAGGCTACTGTTAAAACAGGGTTGAAGCTCTCTAGTTATTGCTGGCAGAACCTCTCCTATGCACACACGTCAAGTTTCTATTTAACTCTGATGGGCAAGTTACTGACACAGCACTCAGGTGAAAAGTGTTAATCAGAAGAGAATAATCTATGTAGGTGTTAGTCTGCGTACCTACATATCTAAATACTTGCCTACCTACCAGCTTCCTACCTGCCTGCCTACCTACCTACCTATCTACCTACCTATCTATCTATCTACCTATCTACCTACCTACCAACCTACCTATCTAAATACCTGCCTACTTACCAGCCTGCCTACATGCCTGCCTACCTATCTACCAGCCTGCCTATCTGCCTGCCTGCCTACCTACCTACCTACCNTACCTACCTGCCTAACTACCTACCTACCTACCTACCTATCAACCTACCTATCTAAATACCTGCCTACCTACAAGCCTTCCTACCTGCCTGCCTGCCTACCTACCTACCTACATACCTACATACCTACCTATCTACCTACCTACCTACTTCCTACCTACCTACCTATCTACCTAACTACCTACCTACCTACCTACCTACCTACCTACCTACCATACTACCTATCTAAATACATGCCTACCTACCAGCCTGCCTACCTGCCTGCTACTTACCTACCTACCTACAAACCAATCAATCTACCTACCTATCTACCTACCAACCAA